AGAGATCATTGCCTGTAACATCTGGGATGAATCTTAAATATGTTGACCACTATGAAAAGCCAATATTACGACCTGTACCCCAAATCATACCTGATGCACTCATGAAGCTGAAACGACTTCTCAATTTCAATGAAACACGACAGGTTATGTTTACAAATCTGATATGACTTCTCCTTAGACAAACTTCACGTAGTCAATCAAAATTGTCAAATCTCATAGATGACCATGCTCAACAAGTTCCATTTTGGACAGGCTATAAATCAGTTTCATCAAGGGAGACATCAGTAACAAAGATCAGCTATGACACAATAATTGATAGAAAGGCGACTGACCCTGCAACACTATACACCCGAATGAAACGATCCTTGAAACGTATGGAAATTCTTGGTCAAGAAAATGCAGTTATTACATTTGATCAACAGCTGTATGCCATTGCACAAAATGTTCTCTGGTCCGCCCCTGACTTAAAGGATGTCGTTCTCCGCATGGGTGGATTCCATATGGTGGAATCTTATATTGCAGCTATCGGGAAAATATGGGGGTCTGCGGAACTGAGAGAGTTGCTCGTAGATTCTAAAGTCTACGCAGCTAATACAACAGACCATATTCTCAATGGTCACCAGTACAACAGAGCAGCACGGGCATTGATCCTCTCTTATGAAGTTCTCCGTGCTCTACAATTAGAGTCATTCTTAAGCAGTCAAGATAATTCTTTAGTAACCGATGCATTATTGAAAGAAATACAAGATGCATTCAATGGTCAAAACAACAACGTCAAGGACAATGTGCTAGAATTAGCATTGAGACTACAGCATGAAATGGAAAACAAACTGTCTGCATTTATAGCAACACGATCCTTACAATCTAAAACATTTAAGTTTTGGAGCGAGTATCTAGAGGCAATTGAAAATCTATTACTATTCATAGAGGCAGAAAGAGCTGGTAATTGGAAACTACATTTGCACGCAACAGTTGCAATGCTACCATATTACTTTGCTGCAGGAAGGACAAACTATGCTCGTTGGCTCCCAGTTTATATCATGGATATGATCAAACTACCAAACAAAGTCAAAATTCCTTTTGAAGAAGGAGATTTCACAATACATATGACCCCTGCAACTTTCAATGGCGTGTGGTCTGATATGGCGACAGAGATGAATGTTATACGTGATGCTAAGGGTGGAGGGGGTATCGTTGGACTCTCAAATAATCAACAGGCAATTTTGCGATGGACGCTTACCCGGCAAATAATTGGCCAATACTCCAAAACTTTTAAAGAAAGAAGTGGTCTATCTTCAAATAGTTATGATGTTCACGAGCAGGAAAGTAAATCTTTCTTGGAAAGGGATGAAATGCATGCATCAATGATGATGAAACACATTAAAGATAATATGATAGATCCATTCTCAGTCAGTAGCCCATCCAATTTGGCACATATCTCCAGCGGAAAGGTTGCTAACATGGATGTCGATAGATCGTTGTGCAACATAATAGAATATGGGCGGCTAGAAAGTGAACATTTTGTATCAAGAGTGTTTGAGCAAGGAAAAGAGTTTTATGCACCGATTAAAAGTACAATCATAACATTTCAGACTCAAGAAAAAGCCTCAAAGGTGAAAGTGAAAGGTAAAGTGCAAAATGTGCTAATATCTCCTGAATTAGTGTTCAGGCGAACACTTGTTCTATCTGAAGCAGGGAAGATCTCAATGGAAGAAGTCATGAATCATCCTATAAGCTCAATACCACCATCATTATTTCACGAAGATGGCTCCATGAGGAAAACCAATAAATCAGTTATCATACACAAAATCGAGGGACTATGCCCATCAGAAAAGCAATTTCCAATATCACAAAGTCAAACACATGACATCATTATCAGGGATACAATGAATGAACTTCACAAACCTAAATATGAGAAATGTGAAAATTTTGAGGATGTTCTACGTGTATATGTATCAGGATTAACTGCTTTGCTGAAACAAGCAAATGAAGTAGTTGAAGTGTTTGATAGGTACGACCAACCGTCGGTAAAAGATGGCGAAAGATTGAGGAGAGGCGAAATGCTTGAGGCAGAAACAAGACCATGTACAATAAATCAAGACAGAAATATCCCTGGGTCATGGGAAGAATTTTTGAGAAAATCTTCAAATAAAATTGCTCTCATTCAATTTCTTAGTGACTACATGACATCCCATCAAGACATCGTTCCATTGGGAAAGATTCTGCGTATAGTTTACAATGGAAATACAGTTGAGGTACATTCACACAAGACTTGTAGAGAAGTTCTCAAATGTACACATTTGGAAGCAGATACCCAATTAATCGCCCAAATGATTAATTTAGATAACCGTCCTGAGCAAGCTGGCAAACAAATCAGATTCATTCTACATACACAGGACACAGATGTATTTGTATTGGCACTGCACCATTTTGTCAATTTTAGAAATACGAAAGAAGTGTGGATTTATCTAGGTGTTGTAACAAAAATAACAGATAAACGCAGGTTTTTCCCAGTCCACAAAGCAGTAGATACTCTTGGTGCAGATGTGTGTAACATACTACCGATGTTACATGCACTTACTGGATGTGATACCACGTCTAGCTTCTTTGGTATTGGAAAATCCAAGGCAATAACTAAAGTCCTGAAGAATCCCAATGATTTCGTAGGTTTGTCAAGTCTAGCCTTATCCAATAAAAAGAAGGCAATCAAAGAATCCACCAAGGTAGTTAAATACCTATATGGTGTTGATTCTAATGGGGACAATCTAAATAAGATCAGAGCAAGTATGGTGAGAACCAATCCCTCGGTAAATTTATCAAAAATACCTCCAACTGAGCAGGCTTTGACCGAACATGTACTCAGAGCAATGTATCAGTCAAAAATCTGGACAGATGCAAATATCTCAGAACCAGTGGCAGTAGATCCAACAAAGTATGGTTGGGTACTTGACAACAGCATTCTCCAACCCGTCTATTTTTGTGGAAAGTCAGCTACAGAAGTGGTAGATAACTTAATCTGTGATTGTAAGGACAAATGCAAAAACACATGCTCCTGCAAGGAACAAAGTATGGGCTGCTCAACAATATGCAGATGTGCATGTGATGGATGCGACAATGTTTGAAACCTGCCAATAGAAGACAAGCATGGTAGACACATCGCCAAAATTAGGTTGATAACAAAATGCTTTATGAAGTGTGCCGTTATGCTCTCATTCATTTCGATATATTTTCGATCAATCTGAGTTTACCTGAGCATGACATAAACTGAACATAGTTGTTGATCAATTTAATTGATTACAAATCAATAAAGTGATATCACAATACATATTGATGAAATAACTAACTAGTGGCTGAAATCACACACAATAATTGAGAGGTGCTCATGCTAGAGAAGTATTTTGATATACAGGTTTTACTATAATTATCAAATCGAATTTGAAAATTTTAAGAATTAATTAACATATTTGTACATAATTCCTTATACAGCTATATCTTGTGAGCTGAAGTTCAATAAACCGATATCATCATGCATATGCATGGAATAACTGAAAGCATAGAAATATTACAGTGATTTATCCTACAGTTAATGTACTAAATTTGTAATAACATTAAAAAATAAATTTGATATCTATTGGAAATATGATATACTCTGGAAAACCAATATACAAATGGTGTTGTGACGATATACTTTGTTTACTGATTTCCGCCAAATTGAACTATTTGACATGAACTTTATTTTTCAATGATATAATACATTTAGTACACTAGCCTGTATGATAATAAAAACATCATGAACTTCACAAGTCCAGGAGTGCTTCGCTTTCTCGTGAATATATTAATATCACCTCGTAGACAAAAATGATATTCCTCAAAATCATAGGATGAAAATATTTTCTTGCTCAATTCTATGTCTGAAGATATAGAAAATAGTGTGCCTTTATCCTCATCTTTATCCCGGTGCTATTTTAGTAGGCATTATATGCAGATCACTTATGCATGTTAACATATATGTCTAATGTAAATAATGCTAGTATAGCAGAAATATGGAAATAAATATTGTATGTATACATTTAAAATACAATTTATTTATTCTTTATAAACATATGATTTATCCTAAAATGGATTTTGAATAACATTTTGGTTTTAGTGCATTCTGCCCTCAATTCATTTCACCTAGAAATGCTTTTTCTGGACAAGTTACCAATAAGGATACGTTTCATACCCATTTATAAGTAGACTTATACACATTTAAAAGCTAATACTCAAATTATTTCTAGCATCAATAATGATATTTAAATAGTAGTAATTCTACCAGTTTATTAATAATTATAACTAATATGTTATCATTAATATCGAGAACATCTCGAAATTACCTAAACATTGGTTGAAAAAAAATATAATTATGACATCACAATAAATATGCAAATGAGCAAATTGGCATATCTTGTTAATTATGAACAGGGGGCTTCAATAGCTTCATTTTGGTATATATATCATTAAAATCGGACCAAGAACATATGTACTATGTCCAAAAATATGATATCCGATTAAATGATTAAGTTTTAAGTGTTGCCATGGAAACGGCTGTTTTTAGCATTTTTCAAAGCTTGCAGCCAATTTATTTCAAACTCCGATGATGATATTTAGTAATGTCTACCAATACATTTTCAATTACAATTAATGTGTCATTATAATATCAGATATATCACCAAAATATCTTAAATCGGCTCAAGAATCTACTTATGACGTCATAATAGATATGCAAATTAGCTAATTTGCATATTTTCTTGTTTATAAACAAGGGGACATCGATAGCTTCATTTTGATATATGTATCATTAGAATTGGACAGATAACAGGTGTTCTACAATCCGAAAGGTGATTTCTTATTTGTTGACTATATTTTAAATGGTTGCTATGGAAACGGGTGTTTTTGCAAATTTTGCCCCAAATTCAAACTTAGGTACAAGTGGATTTGAAATGCTGAAGTCCTTAGCTTTACAACGATACCTCATTTGTCCTTTTCCCCTTCGTGTATATTAATCACAATTTTCAGACCTCCATTCTACTAGCCTATGAGGCATGTTGGCTTAGTTTAATTTATATAACTTCTCTTGATATTACACAAAACACATTCACACTTGTAGAAACGTGTTGGCTCACGTTATACATCTGTTAACTTCCTAGGGTAGGACTCTACAATGACAAACATAAAGGATGTATATAACAGTACAATCCAGGCCTCAGAAAACGTTAAAACGGCTTAATATTTTAATACAGCTATGGATTGCACCAATATGTATGGCATCACATGTTGAATATTGGATTATTTTCAAACGCATAGACATAAATATTGACAAAAAGAAAAACATTTAATCTTATGTCACGGTACATGGAATAACAAAACAAAGCTATCAAGCACATTTTCCATTTGTTGGATAAGATCGTATAGAGTGTAAATAGCTTGTTCCATTACAATTTTTTTCTGCGTCCTTGACTATTTATTTACGTCCTCATAATGGGAGGACGGCGTTGTTAAAAACCCAGAGTTACGTATTTCTCAAAATAAGAACTTAGTTTTTGGCTTTTCTGAAAAGAAGTCACCACAATATAAATACAACATACTTCCTGGCTTGAGGGCCAAAACATTCGACTGGAAACGTCCTTTGTAGTTGCCTGGTGGGCCATACCTGCACGTGACAACAGTTTCAAACCATTTACCTCTCTTCTGAGTGTACTCTCCACATCCTAAAGTCCTGGAGCCTTTCCACACAACCTAAAATGCAAATTATGTATGAGCCTGGCCATAGAATAACCGGTGTTATCACAAAGATTAAAATTATGCTACAGGGCCAAAAATGAGCCCAAGATTAAGAATTTAATGTGCTAAATTCAAATCCGACTTTTCGGTCTATATATGCAAGGAAAATTGTTAAGACATAAGCCATGGCTCATTTGAAAGGTCTCTTTGTGCCTTTTAAGATAAACAAAACTCAGAATACTGAAAAAGTCTGTGATAAGACCCCTTTTCCTGTGGCCTGGCTCATATATGATTTAATTTGAGATGCAATGTAATCAACACACTTTGAAAACAATATATAGTTGTGTAAGCCTATATGGAAATGATTTAGACACTGGGAAGTTAAGCTACACGTCTCAAAGAGAACCTGTACGTGAAAGTGTTATAATATGAGCCGAGGGTTTTACCATCCCCATCTCAACTGGTTTTCCCGGGACCTAATACAACTATTTTTCTCATATCTTTATCCTGAACACTATGAAGGGCAGACTTAATCCCTTATTACGCGTTCACGTTCGTTTAAAACGTGTTGCTTAACCTCTCTCCTAATTCTATTTAATCCCGTGTTGTTTTACGTGCTTGTACAATTGTACACACAATTTTTTGTAAGAATTATCATGGGCTTTCAACTAGAAATTTGAATTAATAACGCAGATGCGAGTAGGTAAATACCAGTTTCACCACCAGGTGGCTCGTTCGGGTCAGATAGCATGGCGGGTATAGTAGAAAGTTCCCTTTAACTTAAATTGCATCTGTTTTAGTGGTTCAATTTTCATATAACCCTTATGTATCTAATAGGTATGCAAATCAAAATATGTCCAGTAAATGAAAATATTATCTGACCAATATAAGAAAAGATATTTCACTTTTTGCGATTTTGTAACATGGGCTCTATGAAGAATCAACCCGAACTAGAAGTCACACTTTCAAAAATAATTAAATTTTCAAACTTGATAAACAATTTTCGAAACCATATTTCTAGATGTACTTTTAGATGTAGATTTCAAATATAACATCGCTTTGACTGAATTTTGAATATTTAATGGCGTAAATCAAGACTTTTCTACTCGCATCTAGTCTATTGAAAGCCCGTAGAATTATGGATCACTCAATAAACACACACTGAATTTATTCACGTAACGTTATGCTTAAGTATTTGAACCGGGGTCGAACCCGGGGTGACTACATCGGAGGAAAATCTGCTCTAGCTAGAAGATGCTGGGGTGGACGCGTGATCATATCACGTTTTGTATACATAGTGAATATATAATAGTCTACGATAGTTGTCACAGTGGTTACAATGAGCTGCAGTGGAGACGTAAACTTTCAAATGATGTCCGTTACCTGGGTGAAATGACCAGTTTGCGATGTGAATGCTCCTTTAGCATAGTTGTAATTGTACTTTCTGGCCTCGTCATACCTAAAAAATAGGATATATAAATTACTAAAGATGCATTTCTATCTTAAAATGCCACGTATTAATCTGAGATTTGGCATATCGATATTACGTTGGTGTGAAAGAAATGTTGTTCCTCCAGGAATCATTGTCCCCTATCTATTTGTGACTTGCTGAGACTTAAACCAGCGAGAAAAGTTCAAATTAGATCACCAATTTAGCCAATGGAGAGGTTGCTCCGACGATGTCTTCGCAACTGCTTATCTAGAATTATTTAATGATTGAAATTATATTTGGACCTTAAATATAATAATTCTGGGCGTAGCCAAGCATGAACCATGCGAGGCAATTGTATCACCAAATGCCATACAGTAATAATTTTTTCATGGGTTTTATCAGCTGTAGAAATGAAGTTCAAAGGTAGTAATCTACTTCATTTAACCTAAATTTGCCTAGTCTATAGACCGTTGCCTCGCCTATATACCTCTGCCTTGCCTATAGACCTCTGCCTTGCCTATAGACCGTTGCCTCGCCTATAGACCTCTCTCTCGCCCATAGACCTCTGCCTTGCCTACAGACCATTGCCTCGCATATAGACCTCTCCCTCGCCTATAGACCTCTGCCTCGCCTATAGACCTTTGCCTCGCCTATAGACCTCTCCCTCGCCTATAGACCTCTGCCTCGCCTATAGACCTTTGCCTCGCATATAGAAAATTGTCTCAACTATAGACATCTACCTTGCCTATAGACCGTTGCCTCACCTATAGACCTTTGTCTCGCCTATTTTAGATCTTAGCTATGCCCCTGGTTGCATACATGTATTTTTTTCTTGTACTAACCAGTTGAATGTTGCTTGTCCACACTGGCTCGAACTACTAGCTCTTGAGCTCATTCGTTTATATAAGTTCTCCCCAGCATTACCACGTGATGTCTTTGGGGAGTGTTTGAATTCTCCACTTTTGGCAAGTTTCTCGGACCAAACTCTAGATTCTCGGGCAAGTTTAGCGTTCCATACTAGAGGGCCAGTGCTGCGGTGCAGGGCACGGACGCGATTGTGGACGCCGAGGCACTCGTCTTTGAAACTCGCTGTATCCACAAAATAATTAATTAAAATGAATATCAAATCCAAACGGTATTTAAACCAAATTTAATGTTGTTTCTGTTCAGTTTTTATAAATTCTAAAGAATTTGCGTCGTCTATACACATTGTCCCAAAGACTGTTGAATATTTGCACCGCGTACGAGGGAAAGTCTGGTCGTTCAGTGATGCCTATAGA